GAGTGCTTATATCAATAAAAAGAAAAAAAAGAAGAAAAAACGCATAAAAGATTTATTGTGCAGACGAGCTGTGGTCCAATTTATGTCATGATAATTAGAAGAATCAATAGACTAATTTAGAGTTACAGGTAGGTGGTTATCAAATTAAAAACGCACTTAAGATATATGGTAACATGGTTCATAGCCGTGTGGGGTCTCATACTACCGAATAACTCTGATTTATTAATAACAAAACATATGATTCCAAAAATCTTTAGATGTAATCACCAAATTATTTCGCTGTCTAGATGTCTCCAAAATTGCTGCGTATAGTTGACAGTAGAGCAGGAAAAACTTATTCGTAATATCTTGTTTATTCCATTTTCATTCTAGTTCGATCTTAAGAAATGTGGGTGACTGAAATGACCAAAGAACTAAATTGCTACCACAGCACCAATGTCAAAATGGATATCTAAAGAACTAGACAGACACATAAAACCAATTTAATCAAACAAATAACAAATAACACTAACTACTTATTAGCTAGTGACATGAATTGAAATCATATTGAAAATGAATGCTATTCTTACTTAGAATTCGAAAGTAATATAGCCTAAGTTTATGTACAATTGCTTCTCCTATGCATGACATTTGTAAACATGCATTTTAGAAAATTCATGCATGTCACCATATTTACATATCATGACTCATGAGAGAAAGAAATGTATCATGCATGGATATTTCATCATGTGATCATCATCATCATCATCTCCATACCCATTCTTAAAGATTTTTCTGTAAATAATTTTTTTTTTGTGAGAGTGAGGCCGACATAGAAAAGGAAACAAGAAAGAGGAAAGAGATTCCTAGGCATGCTTAAATGAGTACCTACCAATAAAAGGAGAAAAGTAGTAGGTTTTCGTTTACAAACCTTCTTCTGTTTATTTTTATTAATATATAAACTTTTTACATATGCAAATATTATTGTATATATTACTTAGCCCAGAGACCAATTATCCGGGATCCAGGATCCGATCCGGGATCCAGGATCCAATCCGGGATCCGCTCCGAAAAATAGGATATCTGGGTGGGGCGGATCCGGATCCGGATAATGAAAAAGCGGATCCGGATCTCCGGATAATAGAAAAATTAAAGCCGGATATCCGGATCCAAGATATTTTATATTATAATAATATTTTAAAATATTTTATTAGTATTATTCAAATTTTATTAATATTTTTTATTATATTTTATATAATAATAATACTTTTAATAATATTTTTAATTATTTATGTTAAATTATTTGTAAAAAATTATTTTTCTTTAATTTTATATTAATAAAAAAAGAATTTCTATAAAAAAATCCCGAATCCGGATATCCGTCAGATATCCGGTTATTTTTACGGATATCCTAAATCCAGATATCCGGGTGAAGCGGATCCGGATTCAGATAATAAAAAGACGGATCCGACCAGATCCGGATACCCTAAAAAAGCCGGATATCCGGATCCGGCCCACCCCTAGTATTACTTAGAATTCCACTACCAACTCTCGTGCTTTTTTCTCACTAGAATTCCACTACCAACT